TGCCCTGTGTAAAGAAACACAAAGCAGAACTGACCTGTAATGGAGTTCGAAATAAAACTGCTTTTGTTTCAATACAACAGTTTACTGAAATGAATCTCCTAAGTGGTAAGCCATCTTATACATAGTTCCTGGATATTGTTATATGTTCCTGGATATTGGTGTATGTCACTTGTTTATTTTTCTATCCTGAAATTTTTAGATTACCGATTCTTAGAAGATGTGGCAAGAACAGCAGACTATATTTCTAGAGATGTTTTCTTGAAAAGACCAATAAGCAATAAACATGTAAGTATTCTTCTAACTCCTTATAGGAGTTAACTTAACAATTCCTTCCAATCAATAAAGACCTGCATCAGGAACAAAGTTGGTGTGTTTGGGAATTGGCAGAGTGACTAAATCATAATGAGGAAGAGAATGTTGAACATGAGGTTAGAGAAAGGGGTAAAGGTTCCCAAGTGAATTCAAAATAAAAAATAGAAACCATAGAAGGGTTTTGAACACATTTACTTTTTGAAAGATCACTCGTGCTGCTGTGTGCACTTAAGGGTTAAGAGTGGGAGAATGGAAGCAGGGAGACCATTTATAAAGTTATGTGATATCCACATGAGAGATGATGGTGGCTTGGGTCATGATGTTAGAATTAATTAGGAGGTGATTAGACTCTAGTTTTGATTGAAGAGCTGAGAGGATTTGCTGTTGGAACACACATAATTTTCATGCTTGCATCCCTTTTTCATTCCTTAAGCACGATACAAAACTAAGGCTTTCATATTTGAAATATTTTGCAACTGGTATCTCAGAAATTTTTTGATATTTTGATTAAGTCACAGATTTATATTCAGTTTTTAGAGGCCATTTTAATATTGAAGTTGCAAAATTTAAATACCCTTTTATTTGTTTTTATTTTTATGTGGTGCTGGGGTTAAAAACCTCACTTTATTGGTATTATAGGTACACATAATACATTACACATGTCAGAAATAAAATTAACATGCATCAACTCATTTTTCCTCAAGCTTAATTAAGCATAATTAAAATTCTACTTAAAGAGAAATTACTTTTTATTGTAAAATACAGCATGCATGTAAAAATGTTAATAAAATGGAAATATAGTATAATGGTTAATTATATCRTGAATACCTATATAATTACTACCCAGATCTAGAATTAGAACATTACCAGCTTCACAGAAATTCCCTGCCACCCTCTTATGCCTTACCGTGATCTGTTGTCTTTTCTGCATAGTTTCTGTCTTGTTACAGTACCATAGTTTATCCATCTCTTGTTCTTGACTTTGRGTAGTCTGTAATAACAACAACAACAAAAAAAGCTACTTTTAATATTTTTATGTGTTGTGTTTATGTATTGTGGTATGGTAGAAACAGTGCTACTCTTCACACTTCTGATGTGCTTTGTGTATGCACATGTTTTTGTAGGGTTTATACTTGAGAGTAGAATTGGTTTTCTGTAATTCATATCTTCAGTTTAACTAGATGTGATTGGAACTTTTTTTAAAGTAGTATATCAGTTTTCATTCCCACCAGTTATTTGTAAATATACCTGTTGTCTTTAATACTTACTTGATTTGGTCAGACTTTTAAAATTTTTGTCAAATCTATTGGCTGTGTATGATCTCTATTGTGTTTTTACATTTGTAATTCACTGATTTCTGTTGAGATGTAAACACCTTTTTGGACATGTGGATTTCCTCTTTTGTGTAGTGACTGTTCAAGTCTTGTTGATTTTTTTCACTGTTTTACTTTCTCTTTCTTACTGGTTTATAAGAATTCTTTGTATTTCTTAGATGCTAATCAATAATTGATTGTTATAAATACCATTAATTTTATGGCTTATCTTTTCATTTGATAGTGTCCCTTGTGTGTKCCATAGTGGCCATTGAACCCAGGGAGCTCTACCACTGAGCTACATCTCCTTCTCTTCACAGCCCCCTGAGTAGCTGGAATTCCAGACATGTGCTACTGTGCCCAGTTTTATTTTTTACTTTGAGACAGAATCTGGCCAAATTGTCCAGGCCAGCTTTGAACTTGGGACTTTCCTGCCTCAACCTTCCAAGTAGCTGGGATTACAGGCTTTTGCCACCATGCCCCACTATAGTGTCTTAATGTAGTCAAATTTACCACGTTTCCTTTATAGTTAGTAGTTTTACATGTTCTAGAAAGAAAACCTTTCAGTTATGAAGATATTATCCCATGATTTTCTGAAAGCTTTATCATATTGCATTTCACAGTTTTGTCTTTAAACTACCTGGAATTGATTTTTAGCATCATGTAAAGTGAAGTCCTATTTAGCTTTTATATATGGGTAATCCAGTTTGCCTAGCACCATTTACTGGAAAGTTCATCCTGTCTCTACTGCTTTACAGGACCAAATTTGTCACATCAGACATCCATATATTGCTAGGGTCATTTTCTGGTCTGTCTATCCATCCTGTTGATGCTTGTCTATCCTGCACAAATATTATAAACTCTCAAATTATTGCAGTGGGTTTTTAATCAATTAAAGTAATTTTTAAATTGATACACAATTATTATTCATATTTATGGGTTAAGGTAATTAATGTACCCATTGTCTCAAACATTTATCATTCCTTTATCTTGGAGCCACTAGAAATTTTTCTTCTAGTTATTTTGAAATCTAAATAAATTATTGTTAATTATTACAATTCTATATCAATATTAAATATCAGCCTATTAATTCCACAGCCCCCCCCCYTTCCTTCTTGAGAATTTTTATTTGAGTTGTATTTATTTCAGAGATCAGTTTGGAAGATTTAACTTCTTCACAACATTGAATCCTTAAACGTTTGCTTTTGTTGCTGTGTCTGCATAGAGTTTTCTTTAATATACCTATGTATAGATAATTTTTTCACTAGAGAACTAATACATTTTTTGTTAAATTTATTGCTGGTTATTTTATTGTTTATCTATTTGGAGTGCTAGGGATTGAATCTAGGGCCACTGCTTGCAAGGCAAGCACTCCACTATTGAGCTACATCCTCAGCCCTTTTGGTGCTATTTTAAACAGGATTTTTAATTTTTTATTTTCTCTTGACCAATACATAGAAATGAGATTTTTTGTTGTTTATTTTATATTGAGYAACAATATTAAAATTCAGTAAATTATTTACATATTCTTTGAAATTTTCTCTATAAACAATTCATCACAGTTGGTTTTTTTTCTCCTAATCTGTCTCTCTTTCTTGCCTTATTGGAATATCTAAGACTTCCAATTCAATTTAGATACTAGTGATGATAGGAAATATCTATGTTGAAAGTCCTCTTAGACCACCTCAGGTTTGATGATTTGTGAGAAAGTTTCATAGGAATCAACATATAGTTGTACTTCCACCTAAAATGTATTGTGGTGAAAGTTAGCTTGGATTGTTCTTACTTTGTTCTTAGATGCACTGACTGATATTGGAATTATTTCTTCCCTGGGAATTTGATAAAAATTATTAGTCAACCAACATGGAGTTTGGACCATGAGATATATTCTTTCTTATTTTATGGGACTGTTCACGTTCTGTATTTGTTGTTGTTGTTTTTTAATTACATCTGTACTGAAGAAGTAGAGATTTTTTTTTCTTGTCATTATTCTCTAAACATTATCTCTTAACAAATATTTGCTTTGTATTAGGTAATTATAAGTAGCCTAGCAATGATTTTTAAGTAGATAGGCAGAATTGCAGAGGTTATAAACAGATACTATGCCATTTATATAAGGGATTTAAGCATCCTCATATTTTCGTGTTCATAAGAGTTCTAGAACCAGTTTTCCACAGATACTGAAGGACAAGTTTATGTCCTTTTTAGGTCAAGTTTGTTAAGTATGTTGTTCCGATTTCTTATAACCTTGATTTTTTTTTTCTTTTTTTATCTGCTTCTATTTGATTTCTGAGAGAGTTATGTTATCATGTCCCAGTAAGTAAAGCCAAACAATCAATTTGTAGTTTCCCTTTGTTGTTCAGTTAGTTTTGCTCATATACTTTAAGACTAAAATATTAAATGCATCAGGAATTATTTCTTGGTGTAGTTAACCATTGGCATTTTGAGATATCCTTCTTTGTAGATTTTTGTCTACTTTGTTCAATATTAATAAAACTTTATTAGTTCTTTGCCAGTATTTGCATGGTGGAGTTTTCTTCCTTGCTATTACTTTCTACCTTTTTCTACTTTTATGTTTTGAATAGGTCTTTTGTTAAGTTCGTACCATAGTCATGTTCCAGTTTTTAGCTGATCTGCTGATGTGTAACATTTAACTGAACCATTGTGTTCATTTTAATAAAATTGGTTACATATTATGCCTTAATTTGTCACTTTATTTGTGCTGTTTGTCCCATTTGTTTATATTGCCTTTGGACTGATTGAATTTTGTTTTTTTGTTTTGTTTTTTGTCTTTTTAGGCCATATGATTTCTGTCAAAACTACTTTATTCTTTTTTTAAAAATAGCTTTTTTTTTTTTTAAGTTAGTGTGTGCATTACAGGAAATAGAACAACACAAGCAAAGAATAAAGTCATCTAGTCACAAGCAGCTTAGTTGGACATGTCCTTCTAGGACCTGCATATATATATGCAACATTTCATTTTGTGTAATTGAGATCATAGTGTGTTCATGCTTTCCTGCACATCATGAATATTCACCAATTCAAATTCCAAAGCTACATGAGTATTTTTGATAACCTAGAGCACACTATAGCAACTCAGTCTGTTAGGAAAAAATTTAATCTTGTCTTTCCTGGGGACAAAAATTTCACTAAAGCCAGAAATGAAAACAGGCTTCTAGATAGACACATTGGCAGAGTTACAACTAAAATAATGCATTCCCTTGAAATTTAAAAACAAGACATAAGGCAACAGATACCAAATATAATGTTTCTAAGAGATTTCATTATCAGGTTTCTACTACTAAAATAGTAGCAAGAAATCATCTTCCAAGTGAATTAAAAGTATTTCTACAATACAGTTTGAAAATGCACACACATCAGTAGTAGCTCACATCAAAATGTAAATCTTTGAACACTTGCTCCCATTTTTACTTGTGTGCTTCCTTCTGTCCCTCTGTTGCCAGCCTGATAAACAAGTTCTGATACTCACTGCCCAGAGTTAAAACAATTTCATGTCTAAGATGCATCTAGCCTATCAGTTATGCCAAAAAGATATTTACAAGTTGTCTAATTCACTAGCTCTTCTTTTTAATAATACACTGTCAACCTCAGGACATCTAGAAAACTTAGATGTTATGAAATAAAGTATTAACTTTGTGCACAATAAGCATAAGTTCTTTACCAAAAATGCATGTATAAATCTGTGGTTATAATCTATAGCCATATATTCTTACAGAAATGGAGATACTAGCAAAGAGCCCTTCCCCTCACCATTCCAGTGACTAAAGAACTACTTCACTCTTGGTCCTGCAGCACTTGTTCCTGCAGCAAAATAGAGGGCATACACAGCATAAACAAATGGGCCAGGCTATAGTCCAATAAAACTTTATATGTGAAAATTGGCAGCAGGCTGGATTGGGGTCAGGGCACCATTTAGCCCTGTACTGGCTTGTTTTATTGTTTTTGGGTATTGTCTTTTTTTAAGAAATCCCTATGTAGAATTATTATTTTATCAGTCAGTGTTTATTTTGTGTTATCTTCATGTTTTCCATTTTCTTTTGTCTTTATTTTTTCTATCATCATTTGACCTGTTCCAGTCAAATAATACAAGTCTCTTAGGATGGTCTTGGGGTAGACTTGTTTTCTGTTCACCTGTGTCTATATTATTTTGACATTTTGCTTAATTTGAGTAGAGATTTTTAGTAGATGATTGGCTTTTAATTCTGACCTTGCTGAGAAGGATATTGAAAAGAGAAACCTATATTTGCTAGAATTAATGAAGGAAACARTATCAGATTTACTGAAATGTCTTCATTGCTTTTCTTAACTCACTGAGTTTTCACTTTTCATTATATATTGGTCTATGTCCTGGTTTTTGTTAGCTCTTAAATGCTTTTAAGGTGATTTTTWAAAATATACTTATTTACATATATGTATTTCTCTTATTATTTGATATTCTTAGATGTTTTCAATGGGAAAGTTTGTCCTTATAATATCACATTACTAAAGCCATGGTTGCCTAAGTTATAAACTTATACATAATTTCTTAAGTCATTTTATTGCTTTGCCAGTAATAACTGATTCTTCCTTTCCATGTTTCCCTTGGCTTATGACTTGATTATCTAACTTTACATTGCAAATTCTAGATCCCCATTCACTTAGCCAAAAATATATATTTTGTCTTTTCTTTGAATGATCTTTTGTCTTTTTTGACTTAATAGAGACATGATAATATTACTATCTTTGCAACTCTCCAAAATTGCTTAGCTCTGCTTAACCAACCCAGGTAATCCATGGAGTTACACATGTTAGAGCCAGATGTTTTCATATTGCCATTTGGTACTGCCCACAACAGTGGCTACTTTAACTAGGCCTTATGCTAGGCAGTGCCTTGATTTCTCCCTTGAGTGGGCTACCTGTCTAGTAAACAAAATCAGGTGTATTCAACTAACTATGGTGCAAAACCATCGGTGAAAGAAAAAGCTATAGGCGGGGATATAGTACAATGGTAGAGCACCTGCCTAGCACACATGAGACCCTGGGTTTAATCTCCAGCACTGCAAAACAATAAAAATCTCTGAAATTCTTCCTTTGGCTTATAGAACATATACGTTTGAATACAGGTTCTGCTACTTTGAGATAGTTGCATGAGGTTGGAATCTCATTAATTCTTAACTGCTAAAATGAGGGTCATAATAGTACCTATCTCTTAGTGGTTGTAGAGATTTTGTTTAACATCTTTCCATGAAACATGATAATTATTCAGTAAAACTGAACCATTGAACATATTTTTTATAAAATGTAAAGCATTGTAAAATTAAATTTATCTATTTGGTTTTGATTGTTAGATGTGCTTTTTGAAAAATCGTGCTCGAAAGCAAGGTATTGACTTAAAACTTCTACCTACTGGATTCACCAAGAGGAAAGAGAATTCAACAATTTTTGATAAGAAGTAAGTTTCTTACTCTTAGTATATCAGTATTTGATTTCATCAGGAGCATTCTTAAGATTTGGTTTGCTGTTGAGCCTTGCTACATAAGTGTAATCTGTAAACTGTTTTTGGATTTCAAAATAATGATGATCATTGCATGTCAGGTGACTAACAAAATTTGGGCATGTGATATGTATGTTTTCTTTATCCTCTGAAAAGTTTCTCAGATATTAATGTGTCTAACAAAAGTTATCTACCAAGTATCTTGTTAAATATGCTTGAGATTTAATTTTTGTAGGCCTGACTTGGAGTTCAATATTGTGTATTTCTAACAGTCTCACCAGGGATCCTGATCATTTGAGCAGTGCCCTCGAACATCTCATACATTAGAAATAAACTCTTTTCTTTAAGACCTAAGGTATCATCAGAGTATTTCAGGGGCTTCAAGTACAAAGTGGTAAATCAGCAAAAGTGCTGTACTGTTTTAAAAGCAACCTAGCTTTTGTCATTGTTTCTACACTGGAATTCCAAGTAAGATTTCACCTAAAAGCCAGATATGGGGCCAGGTACAGTGACGCACACCTGTAATTCCAGCATCTCAGGAAGCTGAGACAGGAGGATCTTGAGTTCAAAGCCAGTCTCAGCAACTTAGCGAAGCACTTAACAACTCAGCGAGACCCTACCTCTAATAAAATATTAAGAAAAAGGGCTGGGGATGTGGCTCAGGGGTTTAGCATCCCTGGGTTACCATCTCCAGAACCAAAAAAAAAAAAAAAAAAGCCAGCTGTGGGGAAGAAAACTTTGGAAACATTTAACAGTGAATCTTTTTGTACAGATACTACCACAAGGATTAGTTTGCTGCTCTTTGAGTGTTGGGTCAAAAAGGCCCCAAGAGTACAGAGAATAGGATTCTAAAGTAGAGTCAGTACATTCCATGTCTTCAGATGCAACTTACTGCAGATTGGAAATATTAGGTGGTGGGGGCTGCATCTGCACTGAACATATACAGACTTTTTTTTTTTTCCTTATCATTATTCCCTAACAGTAAGTATAACAATTACTCACATAGCATTTACTATATGGAAATACTACACTGTTTTGTATAAACATGCATAGATTTTGGTATCTGAGAGGGATTTTGGAACAAGTTCCTTGTGTATACCAAGAGAAGATTGAACTGTAACTAGCCAACTAAATTATTGGATAATACCTTTCAGAAGTCAATGTTCTGGATGTAATAAAAAAAAAAAAAAAAAAACTTTGACTTTGAGCTTCATAGTAATTGTGGGGTTTTGAACAAATCTCTTTCTCTGAGTCTCGTTTTTATTTTTATTTGTGTGTGTTTAAGTTTTGTTTTGAGATAGTGGCTTACTATGTTGTTGCCCATACTGGTCTAGAACTCCTAGGCTCAAGTGATCCTCCCATCTCAGCTTCTCCAATGGCTGGGTCTGTAGGTGTATGCCACTGCACCCTCTGAGCTTCATCTTTACAATGTAGGAAATTGAACTCTAAGGTTGTTTTCCAGTTAACTATTCCACAAATTGAAAAAAAAAAAAAAAATAGGGCTATCAGAATTATTATTCTAGTAAGACTTTTTTTCAAAAGATAATATATAATTACAAGATGATGTTATCTGTTTATTGTATATGTTGCAAGACATAAATATTTGTATGAGTGATTTTCTTTTTTCCTGGTTGTTTTCCAAAAGTAAAGTAATTCTTTGTACTTATCAAGTATGAGATGATTCTTTTGTGCATTTTGAAACATGTATTTAGAAATTGACATTCTGTTGGAAATTTAGGTAACATAAATATAAACGTGTTCTGTTTTATGAAGGAAACAATTCAGAATGATTGTCATCCAAAATTAGTTCTCAGTATTAAAAAGCATATGTCTCCAAGTATAACATTGTCATATCTGTACATACATGTGAGTGTGTGTAAAAAGTTTTTTCCAAGAATATTACTCTCAGTCAGTATATTTCCTGAGTTTAGTAACCAGATTTATATTTTGGAACACCCTASGTCTCTAAAATGATAAACCAAACTGTTCTTGCATTAGCTGTTTGCTCATAAATTTTCAAAGATTTGGGGTTGCTGTTATATATTTTCACTATTTTCCTGTGAGGACATTAACACCTGATGCATAATATACTTTAAGGTCAGGTTCTTAGCTTATTTCCATCTAGAAAAGGGAATCTTATATGGTTGTGGCCTTTTAGTATATTAATGGATTTGGAGAGTAACTTGTATATAGGAAGGAATCAGCATATAKTAGCTACTATAAAAATAATACATCTGCATTATAAGATAATTTAAAGGAAAAATAGCACCTATAATCATACTCTCCAGATATAACCACTGGTATTTCCTTCTCATCATATTTTCTACTTTCTTCAATTAATAAAGTAAAATATAGTGCAAAATACTTAAATAAATAAAAGTATTAAAGAATGACTTTACCCTGATTAAATATTAATTTTTTGTGAATAAATGCATACACTTTTTTCCTGTAGCTAGTTTTTTTTTCCACTTAACAATGTTATAGAGTGGAATTCCACCTATGATCATCCTAATTTATTTAATTATTCTCATATTCACGAACATTTAGCTGATTTCTAGTTTCTGAGTATTACACATAATCCTGTAATAAACATACTTAAACAAATTGCTTTGTGTTACTCAAGGTGTTTATCAGCATTCTAACCTCTACTCCTTAGATGTTGATAGCACAAATACACCCACACTTCTGTTGTGACAACAGAATGTCACTAGACATTGCCTCATGTTCCCTGGAGGGGACAAAAATCACTCTTTGAAAACCACTGAAGACATTGATTGAAATGATAGTCTTTTCTTGGGCTAGATAATTAATACTATCAGTGTATGACAGAATTAGGATTGCAGAAAATGTTGATTGCTAAAAGGAAGTGTATAATAAATGTATAAGGTAACTTTTCCCGTTTAGGGAAGAATTAAAAAAGACATTGAGAAGGACCTTGTTTAGGATATCTGTGTTTATCATTTATTCATCTGAAAATGACTACTACAGTTTTAAATGATTGCAGTGATATTTGCTGGAAAGGAGGAAGAAYAGAATGCTAAATCTTTTCAAAGAATTCTGTTCAGCTCCCATACCCTCAGTATTCTGTTCTAAGAGGTAGTTTTTAATTCTTTTTTTCAACTTTGAAAAATGGTTAAGGCWTTGACGGGATTCATATTGCTTCTACCATATGATACATGTTAGGTGACCTATGTAAGATCTAATTTACTTGCTTATTGAAAGGATTAAAGTAGTACCTGACACATAGTAAATAATATATAATGACTGTTAAAGATCTACATTCTCCTATCTGAAGTTCTTGATCCTTTTGTTACATTCACCCCTCATAGGTCTAGGACAGCATCAGATAATAACCTACAAATGGTCACATTATAAAACATATTGTCTGTAAATTGACTCAGTCAGATTTTGCTGCCAAAAGAGCTAAAAAAAAATCTTGTAGCTGTGGACATTTGGAATTGCTGATATGAAATATGTTGATCATTCCTAATCTAAGAATTCAAACTTTTTTAGAGTGACWTGATGCCACAAGTGGAAAATTCAATACTTGACTTCATATGACAAGTCACAGTCAAAATGACGGTACACTAAAAATATTATATAGCATTACCTTTGGGTTGTGTATAAACATAAATGAATTTTGCGTTTAAACTTGGGTTACATTCCCAAGATATTTCCCTGTGCATATGCAAGTACTCTAAAATCTCAAAAAATCAAAATCAGAAATACTGTTCCAAGTGTTTGGATAAGGATCACTCAGGCTGTACTAAGATTATTATTTATATTCTGTAATAATTGATCCTTTGTATGTATAGGCAGCTGGAGCTGCAATATAGTTAGAAACTCAAATTCAGTTTGATTCATGAGCTTATTTTTTAAAATTTTGAATTACATGTTTAGTTTGTTATTTCTTTAAGAACTATTGTATACCAAACTTTTGTATACTAAACTCTTTACACCCATGTGCCATCATGTTTAGCTAAGTTGCTTAAAAATTCAAATGTTCTAATGGTAACTTTTGAGGAATTTGAAAAATTCTTTTAACTGTTTTTATAACTTTTTTTATAAATGGCAAAACTATTTTCAGTGCTGGAGATCAAACTCTGGTCTTTGCACTTGTTATTGCCAAACTCTACCACTGAACTCTAATCATAGCCCCCTGAAATTATTTTTTTAAAGTAGTTTTAAAAAACTACTTTTTTTATGCTTGCATAAATGAGCATAATTAATGTGCCTAATATTATGCCTGTAGAACTATCAGCAAGTTATTGTAAGTAACAACAGACTAAATAGAAACCTTAGGAAAATAGGTTCATTCTAACTCAGGCATCCTTTATGGTAGTTTTGTGACCAGTATAACTCTGAGTCTCCTAAAAATCAATGGAAATTATGTCGTCTATGAATTTTTCTAAGAACTGTAACTTTCATTGAAAAGTCAGAGTAGAATATAAAAATCAGGGCATGACGTAAAAATATATATTTAATAAAGATAAATTTTAGAGGATTGTTGACATTATAATAGATAGCTTTAATGAACAAAGACATGTCAAGATGAAAAATAAGTTGAAGCCAAACATGGAGGTACATGCGTGTAATCCCAGCTACTTGGGAGACTTGAGGCAGGAGGATCAAAAGTTTGAGGACAGCCTCTGCAACTTAGTGAAACCCTGTCTCCAAAAAAAGGACTGGAGATGTAGCTAAGTGTTATATTGCCTCTGGGCTCAGTCTCTAGTACTGAAGAAAAAAAAAATAGTTGAGCCAAAGCAGGATTCTGTTAAAAATATAGGAGTTTGATAAGAAAATGAATCCAATAGAAGGCTTCTCTACTTAATTTTGGAGCTTATCTCAAACTACCACTTTAGAAAAGTACTTTGTTCAGAGTAAATCCTTTCTCTAATCTTATAACTTTATGTACGCTTTGACTTAGTGTTAATCAAAAACTGTTGAGGGCTGGGATA